CGGGCCCCGGCTCCTGTCCGCAGCCTCCCACCGTGGCCACCTCACCCCTGGCTCCAGGAGCCGCTTCTTTAGGAGGCCATTTTAGTTATAAGTCTGCGAAAACTTTCAGTGGTGCTAGGTTTCTGTTGAGACTTTAGTACCTAGCGGCCAGGCATATTTACACGTTTCTTTTTTACAGTAACCCTTTGTGGACATCTACTAAACGGTCATTTTTTTCTGAGTACTAGTTTGTTTTCCTAAACACTAAGATTTGTGACTGACTTGTAAAACCTTAAAGCAACGTTATGTAACTACTCCCCATTTGATCTTTATTTCTATATATATATATATACATTTTTTTGTTGTTTTTTTGAGTTGAAGTCTCACTGTCACCCAGGCTGGAGTGCAGTGGCACGCTCACGGCCACCGCAGCCTGGACTTGCTGGGCTCAGGAGATCCTTCCGCCTCAGCCTTCCAAGTAGTTGGAATTACAGTCACATGCCAGCACACTTGGCTAATTTTTGATTTATTGTAGAGATGAGATCTCACCAAGTTGCCCAGGCTGGTCTCGAACCCTTGAGCTCAGGCAATCCTCTTGCCTCAGCCTCCCAAAGTGCTGGAATTATAGGCTTGAGCCACTGTGCACGGCCTAGATTTTTAAACAAAGTTTTATGTGGTATCTACAGTCATTTTTTTCACTAGAATTTAGATTTTGAAGTAGCTTTTCTAGTAGTTGATGTAAGTAAAATGTCAAATTAGGAAAAGGCTTATTTCGTTTCTCAACTAGCTTGAACTATTAATGCTTTTTAAAATTTTTTTTTGAGCATTTGGACTTTTTCTTTCTCGATAGAAAAATCATCCTGAACTTCTGGTGTGCCTTGTGAAGTGAGCATTATGAGGATGAGAAAATGTTGGGAGATCCTTTTTGCAAAGGGTATAATAGTCGGCATTCAGAAACGAGTTAACTGCAGAGGGAAAATTGCAAGCTGGCACACTGGCCTTGTTCCTCTCAGCCTTCTGTTAACCCAGCAAGCTCCCACAGGTTGTTCATGACATTGCAAGATGATTATATAGCACTATTGAATCTGCAATCAGATTTTGCTTTCAAACCATTACTAGTCAAGGGGTTGATTCCATGTGTATCTCTATGGATTCTCTGGTATTAAACATTGCTGCAACTCTGTTTTCATTTTGAAGTTCGTCTGTGATCTAGGCTTACTTGGGGAAGAGGGTATCAGGCAAGCCAGGGCCACTTGGTTTTTGTTTTTGTTTTTGTTTTTTTTGAGTTGGAGTCTCACTCTGTCGCCCAGACTGGAGTACAGTGGCCGCTCCCGGCCACCGCAGCCTCGACCTGCTGGGCTCCGGCGATCCTTCCGCCTCAGCCTTCCAAGTAGCTGGAACTACAGGCAGGCGCTACCACGCCTGGCTAATTTTTTTGTTTTATGTAGAGATGAGATCTTGCCAAGTTGCCCAGGTGGGTCTCGAACCCGAGGGCTCAGGCAATCCACTCACCTCAGCCTCCCAAAGGCGCGGGATTACAGGCTGAGCCACCGAGCCTGGCTGGTTTTTGTTTTCATGTTTCTAATTGTCACGGCTAATACAAGTTACCTGTCCTTTTGTTACATTTTAACTGTGAAAAATACCAAGTACGCAGTTTCATGGCAGCCGGAGAACTAGGACATCAGCATTAAGAACTTTTTTTTTGCTTTTTGGGTTGAAAGAGTGTGCTAGGGGCAGCCGAGATTTCTGAGTGAGTGCTGTGCAAATGTTTGATATTTCTTAGTTGTCTGTTATCAGTTCTCAAGCTCTACAGATGGTACCCTGGTTTGATAACAGCAAGTTTCCCCCACCTGAGGGTACCCGAAGTGCTTTTGCCTTGTTATTGCTTTGTTTTTTCTTGAAATTTCCTGTGAATAGAGGGATTCTGAAACCCTTTTTCTCTTGTATTGGGCTAAATCAGTTCTAAAATCTTGAGGGATTTAGTTTTGTCTGCTTAGTCACCCCAACTGACCAAAGTGAAGCAGAAGGCAGCATTTACTCTTCCCGTTAGTCCTAGGCCTTGAGATAAACATGCACAGGGACGTCTGGCACTATCCTTATATGCTGTCTCTGTAGAGGTCCTGGGACTCCTGGTCCCTTGGTGACCTCCTTCACCATGTGGCCTCAAACCTGTCTAATGACATAATACTGAGGAGGAATACTTCTGATTTGTTCTACATTATGCTAAGAAGTATATGAGCTACTGCTTTATTTTCTTTCCTTAGGAAGGTTGACTGCGTCTCCTGGCTTTGTAGAACTTACTGTAGTAGGAAAATTTAACTCACTAGCTTGTTAAGCAACTTCCTGACCTCACTGGGCTTGGTTTCAGTATCTGTGAAATGGGGAGCATACCTTCCACTTTATGGACCTGGTTAGTAGGGGTAACTGTGGGAACTTAGCATAGTAGCCAGCACATGAAAGGTGGCATCTGGTTGGTTTTTTTATTTTTTTATTTTTTGAGTTGGAGTCTCACTCTGTTGCCCAGACTGGAGTGCAGTGGCC